CAACTGGGACAAGCAGTTGTGCAACCCAGACATTTTGAGTATGTGCTCACTGATAGAACTATTTTCCTCCATCTTACAACTGTAGAACTTGTCGGAGACTTCATATCTCTCGACCCGGGCATGAGCTTGGAAAACCATTTTCAGCTCTTCGAACATCTCATATGCTCCGTGTTGCTCAAAACGTTTTTGAAGCCCCGGTTCTAAGCTGTAAAGCATGCCGCACTGAATGTGGGAGTAATCATCAGCACACGACTACCAAGCGTTCATAACGTCTTGGTTCTCTGGGATGGGTGCTTCACCTAGCAGTGCTTCTAGGACATATGCTTTCCTGGCAGCTATGAGAATAATCCTCAGGTTCCGGACCCAATCCGTATAGTTGCTGCCATCAGCTTTCAGCTTGGTTTTCTCTAGGAACGCGTTGAAGTTGAGGTTGACATGAGCGTTGGCCATTTGATCTACAAGACATTTTGCAAAGGTTTTTAGACTAAGTTCATGATAATTAAGTTCATCTAATCAAATTATTTAATGAACTCCCACTCAGACAGACATCCCTCTAGTCATCTAAGTGATACATGATCCGAGTCAACTAGGCCGTGTCCGATCATCACGTGAGACGGACTAGTCATCATCGGTGAACATCTTCATGTTGATCGTATCTTCTATACGACTCATGTTCGACCTTTCGGTCTTTCGTGTTCTGAGGCCATGTCTGTACATGCTAGGCTCGTCAAGTCAACCTAAGTGTATTGCGTGTGTAAATCTGGCTTACACCCGTTGTATTCGAACGTTAGAATCTATCACACCCAATCATCACGTGGTGCTTCGAAACAATGAACCTTTGCAATGGTGCACAGTTAGGGGGAACACTTTCTTGAAATTATTGTGAGGGATCATCTTATTTAAGCTACCGTCGTTCTAAGCAAATAAGATGTAAAACATGATAAACATCACATGCAATCAAATAGTGACATGATATGGCCAATATCATTTTGCTCCTTTTGATCTCCATCTTCGGGGCGCCATGATCATCGTCGTCACCGGCATGGCACCATGATCTCCATCATCGTGTCTTCATGAAGTTGTCTCGTCAACTATTACTTCTACTACTATGGCTAACGGTTAGCGATAAAGTAAAGTAATTACATGACGTATAAGTTGACACGCAGGTCATTAATAAATTAAGACAACTCCTATGGCTCCTGCCGGTTGTCAAACTCATCGACATGCAAGTCATGATTCCTATTACAAGAACATGATCAATCTCATACATCATATATCATTCATCACATCCTTTTGGCCATATCACATCAGGCGACATATGCTGCAAAAACAAGTTAGACGTCCTCTAATTGTTGTTGCAAGTTTTTACATGGCTGCTATAGGTTTCTAGCAAGAACGTTTCTTACCTATGCCAAAACCACAACGTGATATGCCAATTTCTATTTACCCTTCATAAGGACCCTTTTCATCGAATCCGATCCGACTAAAGTGGGAGAGACAGACACCCGCTAGCCACCTTATGCAACTAGTGCATGTCAGTCGGTGGAACCAGTCTCACGTAAGCGTACGTGTAAGGTCGGTCCGGGCCGCTTCATCCCACAATGCCGCCGAATCAAGATAAGACTAGTAACGGCAAGTAAATTGATAAAATCGACGCCCACAACAACTTGTGTTCTACTTGTGCATAGAAACTACGCATAGACCTAGCTCATGATGCCACTGTTGGGGAATGTAGCAGAATTTTAAAATTTTCTACGCATCACCAAGATCAATCTATGGAGTCACCTAGCAATGAGGGAGAGGGGAGTGCATCTACATACCCTTGTAGATCGCGCGCGAAAGCGTTCAAGAGAACGGGGTTGATGGAGTCGTACTCGTCGTGATCCAAATCACCGATGACCGAGCGCCGAACGGACGGCACCTCCGTGTTCAACACACGTGCGGTTGGGAAGACATCTCCTCCTTCTTGATCCAGCAAGGGGGAAGGAGAGGTTGATGGAGATCCAGCAGCACGACGGCGTGATGGTGAAAGCAGCGGTGATCTCGGCAGGGCTTCGCCAAGCTCCAATGAAAGGGAGAGGTGTTACGAGGGGAGAGGGAGGCGCCAGGGACTTGGGTGCGGCTGCCCTCCCCCCCACTATATATAGGGCCCCTAGGGGGCGCAGGCCCTAGGAGATCCAATCTCCAAGGGGGGGTGGCGGCCAAGGGGGGACTTGCCCCCCAAGTCAGGTGGGGCGCCCCCCACCCCTAGGGTTTCCAACCCTAGGCGCAGGGGGAGGCCCATGGGGGCACACCAGCCCACCAGGGGCTGGTTTCCCTCCCACTTCAGCCCATGTGGCCCTCCGGGACAGGTGGCCCCACCCGATGGACCCCCGGGACCCTTCCGGTGGTCCCGGTACAATACCGATTACCCCCGAAACTTTCCCGATGGCCGAAACTGGACTTCCTATATATAAATCTTCACCTCCGGATCATTCCGGAACTCCTCGTGACGTCCGGGATCTCATCCGGGACTCCGGACAACTTTCGGGTTACCGCATACTAATATCTCTACAACCCTAGCGTCACCGAACCTTAAGTGTGTAGACCCTACGGGTTCGGGAGACACACAGACATGACCGAGATGACTCTCCGGTCAATAACCAACAGCGGGATCTGGATACCCATGTTGGCTCCCACATGTTCCACGATGATCTCATCGGATGAACCACGATGTCGAGGATTCAATCAATCCCGTATACAATTCCCTTTGTCAATCGGTATGTTACTTGTCCGAGATTCGGTCGTCGGTATCACAATACCTCGTTCAATCTCGTTACCGGCAAGTCACTTTACTCGTACCGTAATGCATGATCCCGTGACCAAACACTTGGTCACATTGAGCTCATTATGATGATGCATTACCGAGTGGGCCCAGAGATACCTCTCCGTCACACGGAGTGACCAATCCCAGTCTCGATCCGTGTCAACCCAACAGATACTTTCGGAGATACCTGTAGTATACCTTTATAGTCACCCAGTTACGTTGTGACGTTTGGTACAGCCAAAGCACTCCTACGGCATCCGGGAGTTACACGATCTCATGGTCTAAGGAAATGATACTTGACATTGGAAAATCTCTAGCAAACGAACTACACGATCTTGTGCTATGCTTAGGATTGGGTCTTGTCCATCACATCATTCTCCTAATGATGTGATCCCGTTATCAATGACATCCAATGTCCATAGTCAGGAAACCATGACTATATATTAATCAACGAGCTAGTTAACTAGAGGCTCACTAGGGACATGTTGTGGTCTATGTATTCACACATGTATTACGATTTCCGGATAACACAATTATAGCATGTACAATAGACAATTACCATGAACAAGGAAATATAATAATAACCATTTTATTATTGCCTCTAGGGCATATTTCCAACACGTAATACTTATGCTATCTTGAGAGAAGCCACTAGTGAAACCTATGGCCCCCGGATCTATCTTTTATCATATAAGTTTCCAATCTATTTTATTTTGTAATATTTATTTTCAATCTATATCATAAAAATACCAAAAATATTTATCTTATTATTATTATCTCTATCAGATCTCACTCTTGTAAGTGACTGTGAAGGGATTGACAACCCCTTTATCGCGTTGGTTGCGAGGTTCTTATTTGTTTGTGTAGGTACGAGGGACTTGCGTGTAATCTGCTACTGGATTGATACCTTGGTTCTCAAAAACTAAGGGAAATAATTACGCTACTTTGCTGCATCACCCTTTCCTTTTCAAGGGAAAACCAATGCAATGCTCAAGAGGTAGTAGGGGTAACTAAGAAAGAAATACAAAAAACAAAGACACGGGGGAGGGCTGGGTGCATAGTTTTTTTTAGGATTCAACCCAGTAGCATATTGACTGGCCCAAAAACAGCCCAAATCAGGTCACATTGTGTAGGTGCAGAGTGTGGCGGTGGTGTGCTTCTTTTCTCCGTGTTATTATTACTAAACAGTAAGACTCGGCTACCTATGAGCCTCCACAGTGATTTGGACCTCTCAACCGTCAGATCATGTGTACGAATGCAATGGATTCGCTTTGGTTGTCCAGGTCGTCACGCACAAACGAACCACCGTTCGCGGGCTGCTACTCCGCAAAATGAGCCACAACTTTCATCCGTAACCCGGCCTTAATAGACAGACGGCCCAGGTCGACTCCAATGTGCACAAAGCATATCCATATTCCCGAGCAGGCCTGGTCGAACAGTTTTCCTCGCGCCGGGCTAACCCTATTTCCCGAGATGCTCCTCTAGGAAAAAAATGATCCTCCATTCGTATAGATCTGTATAAACCAACTTCTTCATGGGAATCGAGAATGTGAATGCGTGGATGATTATAAAAATAAAAACAAAACAAGGTAACGGAATGCATTATGTTATTTTGTGAGATTATGTATCAAACACTAAAGGTACATGTCCAGTTTATAGGGTGGAAGATGTATCCAAATGCGTACTTGTTTGAACTATACCAATGTTCTAATATCCTTCTTCCTTGTGTAATATAATAAGGTCAATGCATTAGTAAGATTTTGTTGTTCTGTAATGACTCATGAACCAAATTTGAATTTTTTATATACATCTCGAAAATAGCAAAATACAAACCTTGAAGTTTGATTTGTAAGAAAATACCACACCATCACATCAACACATCACAATTCAAATTCTACCAGGCATCTCAATCACTTTTGAAATTTATTATGTCTTTATTTTCCATATATTTATTTTCAAATTCATTATTTTTGGAGATAGACAGGCGCAGCAACACGCGCTATCATGTTCTAATTACTACAAATAAAGTACACCAATCTTTGCAAACATGTTATGGACTATGATTACATGAGTACAAGCCAATGAGCCAAGTATGCAGTTAAGCACGCAAGGAGGCAGTTCTTAGGGAGTATAATATTGTTGTGTTACTCTCTTGTGCATATCTATACGAGTATACTATATGGTCTCTAGATGACTAGTCCATGGAGTAGCATATCTGCTTGAAGGTCTGGACGTGTTCGTCATCGAGCGCCATGAAGAGGTCGACACCGCCCTTGGGGTCGCAGGACGGCACGAAGATCATTATTCCTTCGATGGGCAGATCCGGCGGTAGGAACGCGCAGGGCGGCCCGCAGCCAAAGTCGAGGTCGTGGAAGCGGAACCCGAGCCAGCTGTCAACCTCCAGGTCAGGGCAAAACATTGTGCCCGGCGTCGCTGCCGTCGACGCCAGCTCCTCGCCGCCGTCTTCAATCACGCCGCGCTCCGCCTCCCCGAAGTCGATAAACGACTGGATGTACTCGTCGTCGACGAGCGCGACGGCGTCCCGGATGGCGCCGACCACCGCTGGGTAGCTGCTGGACAGGAGGTCCCGGACCTGCATCCTCGGGAACGCCCGGAGCACCATGTTCCCGAAGAAGTCCATGGGCACGGGAGGCTTTGCGCGGCCGCGGCAGTTGACGGCGACCCTCACCTGCGTGAAATCGTCCGGCGCCAGATCCCGCGCCGCCGTGATCTTCTTCCACGCGTGCGCAAGGAGGCACTGGAACGTGCTGCAGCGCGTGCCCACACGGGCCTTGAGGTCGGCGACGAACTCGTCCGGGAAGTGCACGGCCAGGTTCTTGATCCTGTCCATGGGGAGGACACCATAGGAGTGGCTCCGGCTGAGCTCGCCCTTGAACTCGATATTCCGGTGATCATGCGCCGGCGTCGGTGGCCTTCGGGGGACAACGGTGGCCGAGCGATCGACGAACGGTGACATGAGGACTGCCGAGTCGGTGCGGACGGCGCTGGCCCACGCGGTGTAGAAGACGCTCATGGACTGACCGTCGGCAACCTGGTGGTGGCAGGCGGTGCCGATCACCAGACCGCCGCACGCGTACCTCGTCAGCTGCGCCTGGAAGATGGGCTCATTCGCACGTTCCTGCAACCCAAGATATTGTCAAAATCATCAGCATCTTTTCAACCCTACAGTACTGATATCTAATGTGCTTTATGTTACGTGTAGAAACTCGTATTTGGACGTGTAAAAAGACTCTGCATCTCATCACCTTTTCGGCCTTCGGGTAGAGCTCGTTGATGTGCGCGGACACGTCGTGCGCCAGCGCGTCGGCAAGGTCCGCCTCCACGGTGGCCTCGAGGACAAGCACCCCGGCGTCGTTGAGGTGGAAGCACTTCCGGCTGTGGTCGTCGGCAGCGAACCTCCCGGCAAGGTGCGGGAACCTGGCGACGGCGGCGACGAGGCCGGCCTTGAGCGCCTCGTTGGTCGGCGCCGGCGCGTTCCACGCGAAGACGGCCGGGATGTACCCGTCCGTGGAGGCGCGGTCGAAGACGGTGAGAGGCACCTTCTTGCCGCCGCCGCGGGCCGACTCCCGTGAGGGCTCGAGCACCGTGCTCTGCGTGATCTCCACCGTCACTGCCATTGCTGGAGCAGCCAAGGTTGCAAGCTAACTAATGATCGTATGTGTTTGTGTTGTGTGGCTCGTTGTGTTGTGTGGGTCGTTGGGTTAGCGTAGGTTAGTGCGTGCATGTATATATAGGCGGTGGGATTTTTTTGGCGCCAGCCGGCCAGGCCGAATACCCTCGAAGGTAAGTTAATAGGCTGGCTGGTTAGTCAAAATTTGGGTTGGTAACGTTGACGCCACGAGCACCAACCCCGCCAAGGTGCGTGCGTGCGTGTGGCTACTCGATTTTCTGGCTAACGGCGCAAAGATGATTTGTAAGCGCGTGTCCTCTCCTGGCATGCCAAGAGAGAGTGGTGTTCGTACGTACAACATTCCCTGTTGAATTCTCGGCCTTCCGACAACAGTCTCCTCTCCGCGTCTTCTTCAACCTTGGCCAGCAAGTTGTGCCTCCAAAATAAGGGCCTCTTTGTTTCACAGGATTGTCAAAATGAAGGAATAGGAAAAATGCAGGAATAGGGTGACATGTCCCATAGTATCCTACAGGATTTGAAAGAATGTTTGATAGCATAAAAAAATAAAGGAATTCTACAAAGAGGTTTGAGTGGATGCAAATTTTCCTCCAAAATGTAGTACAAATGAATCATATGGAAAAATTCCTAAGGATGCCAATCCTACGAATCAAACGAGCATCACAGGAAAAATACCTAAGGGTTTAAATCCTCCAAAAATCCTATGCAATTCCTTTGAATCAAAGGAGCCCTAAATACTAGGTTTTCTAAACGAACCTCGTCCACACAGCATGTCAGTCTACGGCAGGTTTCATTATTTAGTTGTGGATGAGCTACCTTGAAGTTGCGCGTAGATGCTCAGCCATGACTATAGACCCTACTAAAAGACTACTCCCTTCATTTTTAAATATAAGTTTAAAAATTCAAATGAACTATAATATACGAATATATGTAGACTTTTTTAGACTATATATAAATTCACTTATTTTGTTTGTATGTAGTTATTTTTATTAGAATCTTTAAAAAGACTTATATTTGAGAACGGAGGGAGTAGTACGTAGTGACCGGATCAAACTTCAGCCAAACTTCGTGGCACCTCTGGGTTCCGGGGAATATATATGGAATTAGCAGAGCTACCTTAATCGTACGGTGTATAATTCGTTTTTTTGGTTGCACTCTTAAGTATCAGTGATGATAGCATGATGTGTTTGATGTACTCTCACGAAAGGACAAAAAGCATAAGATTTAGCATCTCCAGTACACGCTTGTTGCTTGGTTAGTCAACGGTGTAATATCTTGGTAGGTAAGATCATATCCTGCCCAGGTGCATGATCAGGCGGGTAGTAGTATGGACTAGATGGACCAACACCGATCTCTTGGGTGCACGGCCATGGGTAGTAGTATGGATTAAGCCCCTACTCACAAAACCATTTTTCAAATCTTGACGTAATCATATATGAATTTTGATTTTGCACTACTACATGCATGCGTGCCCCGCCGATGTGTGCCAACAATCGTGTTCCACGTAGCGAATATATGCTTTGTTAGTCGACAATGTTATCTTGATAGGTAAGATAATAGCTACCTAGGTGCATCCGTGCATGATCAGGTAAGTACGGATGAGATCGACCAACGCTGATCTCACGGCTGCACGGCTACGTGCAAAGGCAAAGGGTAATAGCAAGGAAAGGGATGCACACCTAACTCAATCTGGAGAGACGATCTTACTTTGTCTTGTTGGGCGGCTTCTCCCTGAATCGATTCTTCGCGGCAAGTTTTGTTTACTCAAGAGTGCGCGCAAGTAATGCTAAAAAAGAAAGAATAAAATGCTAAAAAAAAGAGTGCGCGCAAGTAACGCCTGTGACGCGAGCGCTCGAAGATGCATGATGTATGATCTCTCTGAAAAAGCAACGTAGCCCGTGTGAACATTGCATGCTTTTTGTTATAAATTGGGAGGACGCAAGCGCACACGTACACACGATTCCACGGTCACTCCCTAATTAATCACGCATTATGATTGACGGATCACATTGGAAATGAGTTCGCCGATCACTAGTTTAGGAGTGCAATACAACTGAAACACACCCTCTCTCGTACGTACGTGTTGACCATCATGACGATCGGCATGAGGGTAGTTCTTATCTCACCTCTATCTCAGACTGGCATCTTCTTAGAGCATGTACAGCCGGACCTCTCAAATCCGTTTCATATGTTTGGATAAACTACCCGGTTACATTTTTTTGACTCGTACGTACGTCTCAAACAGGTCTCAAATATTCGGACTGACCAGCACCCTCAATATCTAGCCTAAATATGGGGCGGATATGGGGAAGCCTGGGCATGCCCGTCACGTCGGACCCGGCCCATGTTGGTCCACCTGACCCCACTTATATTCGTTCCCATGCCCTCGTCGGAGCAAACCCTTAGCCACCACACTCCCTCCCCTCCGCCATCCGAGCTCACGTCCGGCGGTTTCCGGCCTTCTCCGCCATGGCAGGCAGCGGATCGGACTCCGACCAGTCCGGACCCGTCGACTGAGGTGTCGTCCCGTGTGGGTTGGAGGAGGCAATGGTAGTCCGCATTGCACTCCGCCGCTCCCGGAAGGACAGTGCCCGGCCGACAGACAGACCCGTCCGCCGCGACACCATAGCATCGGCTCACTGGGCGCTCGGAGTTCTTAGGTGTTGGATCCTCGCGTTCCAAGTCGGAACACCTCTCCTTCCCCATCACCGGTCGGGCAGGTATGAGTCCCATCATGAACTGACGGCCCGCCGTGGGAAGGAGAGGATAAGGGCCGCTGAGGCCTGTATCGCAACGGAAATGGCGGCGGCGTGGGCGGCCGCAGAGGAGGAAGCCATCCACGTCCGCATTGTGAAGAAACGGTAGCGGAGGAACACACGTGCCCCCGCCCGAGAGCAAAATCGGGCGGTCCGTGCAATGGTCGTTCTGCCACCGTAGGAGGAGAATGAGGACATCGACGGCAAGGACAGCTCTGGCTCAATCCGTACGGCATCTTCGAACGGTACATCCGCGAGAAGGACGGCAAGGGCGTCGGAAAGGGCAAGGACGGCCGTGGATGTACTCCACTATAGGCAAACATGCCAAATTTGGGTAGTCCGATGACATCTTTAGTGTAGTGTGATGGAGTAGCCGGACAATGCGTGTGCGTCGACGTCCGATGACATGTTTAGTGTAGTGTGATGGAGCAAACCCTTAGCCACCACACTCCCTCCCCTCCGCCATCCGAGCTCACGTCCGGCGGTTTCCGGCCTTCTCCGCCATGGCAGGCAGCGGATCGGACTCCGACCAGTCCGGACCCGTCGACTGAGGTGTCGTCCCGTGTGGGTTGGAGGAGGCAATGGTAGTCCGCATTGCACTCCGCCGCTCCCGGAAGGACAGTGCCCGGCCGACAGACAGACCCGTCCGCCGCGACACCATAGCATCGGCTCACTGGGCGCTCGGAGTTCTTAGGTGTTGGATCCTCGCGTTCCAAGTCGGAACACCTCTCCTTCCCCATCACCGGTCGGGCAGGTATGAGTCCCATCATGAACTGACGGCCCGCCGTGGGAAGGAGAGGATAAGGGCCGCTGAGGCCTGTATCGCAACGGAAATGGCGGCGGCGTGGGCGGCCGCAGAGGAGGAAGCCATCCACGTCCGCATTGTGAAGAAACGGTAGCGGAGGAACACACGTGCCCCCGCCCGAGAGCAAAATCGGGCGGTCCGTGCAATGGTCGTTCTGCCACCGTAGGAGGAGAATGAGGACATCGACGGCAAGGACAGCTCCGGCTCAATCCGTACGGCATCTTCGAACGGTACATCCGCGAGAAGGACGGCAAGGGCGTCGGAAAGGGCAAGGACGGCCGTGGATGTACTCCACTATAGGCAAACATGCCAAATTTGGGTAGTCCGATGACATCTTTAGTGTAGTGTGATGGAGTAGCCGGACAATGCGTGTGCGTCGACGTCCGATGACATGTTTAGTGTAGTGTGATGGAGCAAACCCTTAGCCACCACACTCCCTCCCCTCCGCCATCCGAGCTCACGTCCGGCGGTTTCCGGCCTTCTCCGCCATGGCAGGCAGCGGATCGGACTCCGACCAGTCCGGACCCGTCGACTGAGGTGTCGTCCCGTGTGGGTTGGAGGAGGCAATGGTAGTCCGCATTGCACTCCGCCGCTCCCGGAAGGACAGCGCCCGGCCGACAGACGGACCCGTCCGCCGCGACACCATAGCGTCGGCTCACTGGGCGCTCGGAGTTCTTAGGTGCTGGATCCTCGCGTTCCCAGTCGGAACACCTCTCCTTCTCCATCACCGGTCGGGCAGAGTATGAGTCCCATCATGAACTGACGGCCCGCCGTGGGAAGGAGAGGATAAGGGCCGCTGAGGCCTGTATCGCAACGGAAATGGCGGCGGCGTGGGCGGCTGCAGAGGAGGAAGCCATCCACGTCCGCATTGTGAAGAAACGGTAGCGGAGGAACACACGTGCCCCCGCCCGAGAGCAAAATCGGGCGGTCCGTGCAATGGTCGTTCTGCCACCGTAGGAGGAGAATGAGGACATCGACGGCGAGGACAGCTCCGGCTCAATCCGTACGGCATCTTCGAACGGTACATCCGCGAGAAGGACGGCAAGGGCGTCGGAAAGGGCAAGGACGGCCGTGGATGTACTCCACTATAGCCAAACATGCCAAATTTTGGTAGTCCGATGACATGTTTAGTGTAGTGTGATGGAGTAGCCGGACAATGCGTGTGCGTCGACGTAATTGCATGAATTTGTATGGATTTGAGATATGATAATTAAGGTGTCCGATTGTAAATTGCATTTTCTGATAAGTGACCGGTCAATGCCCGCGGGCGCGTCCAGACCTGTCCACGGGCGTTTGAGGGCTGGATTTGTTAAATCCGGCTGTAGATGCTCCCAGACTTGGGCAAATAGAAACAAACGTTCTCGACGTAGCAAGTTCAACGTCCCTTAACGACTTTCTTTTTAATGAATGCCGGGCACCTACATTTCC